GTGCTATTGCATATAAAAATCAAAAATAGCAACTCTAACATCAGCACAACCACTGATTCCTGACCACAGCCCACTGCTTCTACCCGGGATGCTTAAAAGACTGCTGGCCGGGCTATCAATCCTCTGTTTTAATGGCCAGATCCCACACGCTGGCAATGCTCCCAGCACAGGGAGCAGGTCAGCATCTGCTTTTTGCTGGCCTCTCCTGGGAAAGCTATGGGAGGTTTCTTCAGAGTTATTTTGCTCCTTGCAGCTTTCTGTTAAACAGGCTGACACTGGGTCTGCTGCAGAGAGGGGAACAAAAAAGAGGCTTTTGTAGCATAACAATGCCGTGTGCTGCTGTGCAGTGGGCAATTATGTAACCAACGCTAAATCTTTCTATAATTAGAACAAGCACCTAGTTAGAGTGATCAGAGCTCTTTTGTGTGCGCCTGCACGGGGCTATGCAAGAAAAACCTTGGCTTGAAAGAAAGATGCTGGCTTGATTTCCCTTCCCTTTTCAACTGGTGAATAAATTAAATCTCAGATTACCCCAAATTGCTGTGAAAGACAAACTGTGAAAAGCGTTTCCTTTTCATTCCTGTTGAAGACATTTGCATCCCAGGTGTGAATCTCATGAAATGCAGATCCAAACCCAAAGGCTCAGCCTCTCTGTCCCAAGCACTGGAGCAGCAAGAGCAGCCAGACTGCCTGAAGAGAGGACAGAAGGTCAGCATCAGCCCTCTCTGTTGAGAATCGATGTCTTTTTCAGATTCACTTTGATGAAGAACATGACAAGATATCTGCAAAGGCTCACTTATAATAGATATTCCTCATGTATGAAGAGGAGACTTAGGAAAAGAGAACAAAACAGTCCCAGAAAGCAGATCATCCTATGTTTTTTTGTTTGGTTGGTTTGGTTTTGGGTTTTTTTTTAATTTTTGGTCCAACTTAAATGGATATTGGCAGGTTTCGCCTTTATATTAGCAATAGAAAGTTCAGAGCTGATTCTGGAAGCCATAAAATTTTAAAATAGCCTCTTCTTACCAATCGTACTGTTCAGAGCCATTATTTAATAAAACATGTCTTGACAAAAGCATGCCCATAGCCCAAGGTCCTTCAGCCCCTGTGACTCAGTAGTCACCAAAGTCTGAATGTGACAATGGAAACTGATGTGCTCCTTGGAGAGCAGGGCTTTACACAAGCAGCAAAATCCACTTCTACCAGTATTTTGTTCCTTCAAGGCCTCTGCTCAACCTTGTTGTGTGGAATCAGTTTAGACAATTGCATGCCACCTCCATACTTCTCTCTCATAATTTCTGTTGGCAAAGGAATTTCCCCTTACTTTATTTGCTAAAGCTGTTGGTGCCTAAAGGACACTTCACTTCTTGCAGGTTGTTGGGAAGTGTCAGTGACCAACATGTCCTGTGTGAAATGCTCCAAGACCTTTGCAAAACACCCCCAGAGTCTGTGGTTTTTACAGAGGTACATGAGAACATTTTTGCCTGAGAAAGTATACTTTTCTACAATATGCAACAAATAACAGAAATTAAACCAGCCTTCATTTCAGTCGCTCCAGAGGACATAGACATGGCTTGAAGAATGTAAAGATTTTTTTACAAAGCCACTAATAAACCTTCTGATCTTCTTTTCCTAGGTATAATTATTCCTTCTGAATGCTGCCTGTAATGCCTAAGGGAATGTGAAGTACAGGGGTTGCTGATGTGGTTGAACCTTTCCATCAAATTAAGTCTCTTCTATTTCACTGTTTAGCATCTTACCTGTCCAGAATTTACCTCTTGAGTTAAGAAGTGTTGTTTATTTTGATAATTTTTATCCGAGTATGTGCAGCAACTGGTAGGCATACAGATATCTGATATTAACAATAGCTTATTCCATTACTTTGTATCATCATCTTCATTTGTTACAAGATATTTCATGAACTATTTAATTCTGGATTTGCAAATGTGAAAAGTGCTGAATTAGATAAAAAAGGTGCAGAGGATTTAATAGCCTAAACCTACCCCAAAAGATTTCTCAGAATGCATCAGAAATATGTTCTTAAAACCAGCTGTGATATTCTCATCAAACTAAAAATGTCTCTGCTCCCAACCATGCCAAGACCTCCACAGAGCCTGAACTCATTCATTCTACCGAGGATCATTTTGGCATGATCATTTTGTGAATAGAGATGCATATGGAAACTTGATATCACTATTGTGCAGAAAGATATTGTCCAAAATATCCTGATGAAAACAGAAAGGAATTAATCCTTTTTGTCTTAGAGAGAGATTTATATTTGGGGAAGATACATTTCAGATTCTTAGAACCATTCCTTGCCTAATGTTTCTTTCGTGAGGAGCACAGAATAAGTTAAGTTGGTAGGGACACACAAGAATCATTGAGTCAAACACCTGGCCCTACACAGGACACCCCAAGAATCACACCACGTGCCTGAGAGCATTGTCCTGATGCTTCTTGAACTCAGGTTTGGTGCTGTGACCACTTCTGACTGTTCCTGTATGGGCCCTGGCTGCTCAGGCTTGCCCAAAGCAGGTCTGGTAATAATGAAACTATCTCTTCCCAGAAGATTTCAGCTTTGATTACAAGAGGATAAGGGATAGAAAAGTGAGCACCTCCCACAGTTTTTCAAAGGTTAAACACTCTCATTGTTAAATATTTCAACTTAATTTCTCATTTGAATTTCCCTAATTTCCACTTCCACTACTTGTAATAGCATTGCTTTCCTCTATGAGATTAAGGAGTGGCTTAATATCTTGCATTTCTAATTTGTACAAATCGCCTCTCAATTTCTTCTAATGAACAAAATATACTAAATGTCGAAGAGCAGATAAATGGAGTTAACCTCATTCTAATCTGGCAATAGTAACATTTACCTCTTAAACTTCACCACAAAACAAATCAACTTATTGTATTTCCCCTACACTTCCAATTAATGATAGCCTTATCTTACCTTTGTAGTCTTTTAACCCTCTTCTACCTTCCAGAATTGTTTTAAACTTGAAGACCAGGACAAGAGTCCCTCTAGAGTTCACCATATCGCTTCTTCCACATCCATGGCCTGCATGAGACTTTTTGTTACTTCATAGCACAATAAATTTGTCCTAAGCTCCTTGTCTCTCATAACCCTCATGGGTCCTTTTCAGGGCCACTGGTTCCCAGCACAGCCTGTATTTAACCCCACATTTTTTGCTTACAGATATGTGAGTTTGCACAATGGGATGTTGGAACACAGCTCATTTAAATGAGCTGTACTTACCAAGTCATCTAGCTCACATTGTATTACTCTCCTCCCAGTATCCCTGAATATTTTGCCACTCATTTTGAAACATAGACTTTATGAATAGCAATTTCATATTGACAGCAAGCTGATGAAAATGGTGACTAGCATAAATCATAGTGTGTGCCTTCCTCTGGAACTTCCTCAGAAATACCTTATGCAACATTGATTCCTGTTGATTCCTTTGTACTTTGAAATGCCAGCCACTTCCCAACCCCAGTGGCACACCTCTTCAAGTGTTGCACAGTGTTAATTCTTTAATCAAAGCATCATCATAAGCAGAAGATAGCAGTCATAGTGTGGTGATACATTCTCCCCATACCGCATTAAATAATACTCCACAGCAAAGAAAGAAGGAGAAATGTCAAAATAGGAGGGATAAAACATCATTTTTTCACTGAGACTAGTATAACAGCTGGGCACAGAGGGTTTGACAGCTTCTAGGGGCCCCCTTTTCTATGGGGGAAAGCAGCCTCCTGAATCAGGTGGCAATATTGCCAGATATGACAACAGCAATACTGTTATTAAATGAGTGACAGAATTGGGTAGAAGGGATGACAGATGAGTTTTGCTCAGGAAAATAATTGATAAATGTTGGGTGACAAAGTCTTGTATCTTTACCTTTGTATGAATTGCTCATAAGACACTAGCAATCTCAGAGAGAAGGGCAAGTATCTGTCACTCATAGAGGTGGTGACAGAGCTGCTGTTACCACAGTGTTAAGCCAAAAGCTGATTCCCACTGGAGCTGATGAGTTCAGGCATAGAGAGACTTCACAGGATTGCCCTTACCTTCCTCCAAATCTTCCCAGTCCTAAAAGTTGTAGCAGATTAATTTATCCTGAAGGAGTAGTTCACCCTTCAGATTAGGAGATGATAGGGCAGACAAAATGACTAGAGGACTGCAAGACAGTTACTCTGTCTTATTGTATTCCTGCCTCCTATGGTGTGATTTTTAAAATCTCTGATAGACCATGTTTGTTTCTTTAGTCATTCTACCCTTTTCTTCCCTGTCTGGCTTCCATTTCTCTTCTAGATGAACCAACGCCTGGCTCAGTGGGACTCTTCTGCCTTTGATTCACTAGAGGTGATATAACAATAGCAACTTAATTAGTAACTGTCTTCAGTTATATATAGTGCTATATATTGCCACTTTAACTCAAATAGTTTATAGCTTTACATAGGAAAACAGATTTTCCTATGTAAAGCTCCACTTAGTTCCCATGTATTACAACTCCCTGAGAAATATTGTTCCATATTCCAAATTTTAATTGTACTCTAAAGAGTGCATCTCTTGATTTGATTTAAAGAACTCCTATGTTATGTATGCTCATTTAACAAGACAGCACAACTCCTTTTTAATGCAGAAATTCTTCTCTTTTCAATCAATATTTTTACACCACTTTCAGTCTCTTTTCTTTCCTTCACTCCCATGTCCCAGTTCAACGATTTCTAAGCAGCAGGTATATCAGAATAAATTTTATCCTGATCCACTTGCTCTATATTTTCTGCTTTTTACTTGGACATATTCAGCTGGATGAACTGTGAAGTTACTGAACTTGGAGACTGTGTGAATAGTGCGGGGGAGCGGAATAGGACGGCTGAAGAAATAAACTGGGATACCGCAAAACTACACCTCCCAGGACGCCTTGCGGCCTACCGCATGCGCCACCGCGCCGCGAGTGGCCTCACGAAGACTACAACTCCCAGGGCACGCTGCGGGCACTGCGCATGTGCAGGTGTCGCTGTCTCCCCGCTCCTCGGCTGCCGGGCGGACGGCCTGCGCGGTCAAGATGGCGCTCACCAGGTGGGTCGGGCGGGCCCGCCCGGGCCGTGAGGGCGCTGCGGTTCCCCCGGCCGGGCCGGGGATTCGCCGCCGCGCTGCGGGGCTCCGCCGACGGGAGCGGCCGCGGCTAGGGAGTGCGCGGGGGGGCCGCAGCCTCTCCTGGGCAGGGGGCCCGCCGGCCGGGCCGCGGCCGCAGAGAGTGCGGCGAGGGCCGGTCGGGCCGGGGGAGCCCTGGGGGTTTGGCCGTGGTCAGGGCGCTGCTTCTTTCGCCTGTTCACTGCGGGTAGAAGGAGCTCCTCCGCTTCGGTTGGGTCCGTGGGGTTTTGTCGAGGTTTCTTCACCGTCGGAGAGGGCGAGCGGTCTTTGTTGCGATCTGTAGTGTCTCGCAGGGCATGGGAGTGCAGTTCCGGTGGCTGCACCGGAATCCCAAGTTTCTTTGGGTGGTTTCTTAGTAAATGCACAAAAGGGCTGTGTAGACAAGAAGAGATAAAAAAGGGGAAGTGAAGAAATTGGGGTTCGACTTGCCCTTGGCAGGGAGGTGTCAGGGGTAGAGGAGAGAGGTCTTTGTCAGATCTCTGTGGATGTTTGCCTTGAGAGAAAGGAAGAACGAATCACTGGGACTAGAGACACAGGAACATAATATTTCTTTCTTATTCCTAGTAGTGTTAAGAATACCAGTGATATGTGGGATTCCTGTTGGAAAACGGGCATTGCCACTCTTCTATTCAAGAAAGATGTGAATGCGTGTGAATTTAGCATTTGTTTTTGTAGGAATCTTTCAGAATGCTGAGAAAGCACACATTGCAACTGTAATCTCCGAAGTTACTGAATCTTAGAAGTTGCCCTCACATTTATGAGTGCAATGCTCAAGTTTCATAAATTGTTTCTTAATCTATAGAGTGCTTGTCGAGAAAGTATTAACTTAGCAAGAAGTTCAGTCAAGCATAGTTGAGTGCCTGTGAGTGAAGTTACCAGAATTAACTTTTTATGTAATTCTCTTTTGGTTGCTGTCCATGGGTGTCCAGTTTTTTGCCAGCTCCAACCCAGCTGTCCCAAGATCAGCTAGAACTAGAAGAAAGAGCAAGAGCTCAGAGATCCAGGCAGAATGCTCTGGCCTCCTCACAAAGGGAACCTCCCCCATATGGTTACCGGAAAGGATGGATACCTCGTGCACTAGAGGTAAATATTTAAATTGATACAGTAGTAATGTGTCTGCTAAAAGGGAGAAAAAAATTCTGGAGTAGAAATAAGCTCTGAGCACCTTGAATGTTGCTGAGAATTGTGCAAAGCCTTACAATGTGCATTATCCATACTGCTTGATAAACCTTTGTGTTGGGAGAGGTTCTAATCTACTGGATTCCTTAAAGCATTTGATGGTAAACAGGATGGTCTATGTCTACTTCTGTTCAGAGATTGTTGTGTTGGAATGTAGAAATACATCTGTAGCCCTTTGGATTTACAGTCTGTGAACACAAGGTTTCCCTGAGAAAAACATCCATATTGTTTCTCTGTTAGTGTTAAATACACATTCTGGATTATAGCTGAAATAAGTGAATGTGTGTGTATCAGAGACAAGATGTTCTGTGTGTGTGTTCTGTTCAAAAAGATACCTGCTATTGGGGGACAAAATTATTACAGTTGGAAGGAAAATAAAAAAATAACCAAATATTTGTTGTTTAAGTATGTTATTGGCTAAAAGATTTTGGACAATGTTGTGTGTTAGTAGTTGTAACCCTTGCCAGTTTAATGTAATCTAAACTGGAACTGCTAAAGGTAGAATGAAAATACAGATGTAATCTGATTATAAAACAGTTTTAGTACAGTCTCTCACTGTGAGCCAGAAAAACCTTGCAGTTTGAAGTGATCCTTGACAATAACTTCTGAGACCTGTTCTGATGAGTCACAAGCCAATGCTCTTGGAACAAGCAAGCTGTTGAAGTTTTATTACAGTAGTTTATGTATGATCCTATGTTGTTTCCAAATACCATATTTTCATCAACTTGTAATAATGTTGCTCTCATTTATGTTTGAGTGCCATTTTTATAAATTCAACACTGTTCTGTGGTGGTCCATGTACTTCAAACAGTAGTTCCAGTGGTTCACGGAAAGAAAACGTTCTTCTGCAAGTTCAGCATTTCATCATATGCTGCATATGTATGATGTCAAAAATTATACTTCCATTATACCCAGTGAAGGTTTCCCTTCCTACACTGTTGAGTACTAAAGCTAGTATTTTAGTGCTTATTCTTTCTTAATGTTAATAAAGAAATATTTTAAGAAGCCAGATGCTGAAGGTTTGCAAAGACTTTCCAACACCACTTGGCCACAAATTAATGCACATCCCAAAAAGCCTGTTAAGGGCTCCTTTCCGCTTCATAAACAGGTGCAAATTGCAGTTAATGCTTTCAAAGCATAACCTTTGTCCAGTGCTCCTGGACTGCCATTGCTGTTCTTTTTACGTTAAGAGTTGCACAAAGAAAAATTTAAAAAATTGAAGAATGACTGAATTTAGTTCTGGCTAATACTTTAACAACTAATTGTTGAATGTGGGACATCCAGTGGAAAACTTCCGATAGCGGAAACTGTTTAAAGGAGCATTTGCAGATGGGATAAGCACACTGTCCTTGTTTGGAAGTGTTCTGCTTGGTCATTTCCAGTCTCAGTCCACTCCGTCCTAGTGGTGGTAACTACTTGGTCACATGGTGAGCATGGAGGAAGATTGATGTACTCAAGGCACCCATTTTTATTTTTTAATATGTTTTGTTGTTAGCCATGCCATTGCAACAGAGAAAGGATAGATGCTCATGCTGCTTTAAGCAAATGCTTCCTCCAAAGTGTTCCATTTGAAACTGCAGCCTGAAGTTGTTTTATGAATGGTACCACTGCATCCTCTGTGGTACTGAGACAGGGTGATCTGGTTTAAGAAGTCTTTTAGTTATCTGTTTATTAAATGCTTTTACACCAACACATTGTAGGAAAGAGGAATAAACTGTAAGAATATTGGAATGTTGGGTGCTGGCCCAATTTTCAGTGTATTTACACATCAAAGTAAGGGAATGTTTGACACATGTAACATCATAAAGCTATGAGCTACAGGCTTTGAAAAGAATGGAATGGTTTTTTTTGTCTTCATTGTGGTGTGAAAAGCAACAAATAACCAGTAGAAGTCATTGTAAAAATGCTGCTCTTGTAATTTTAGTATCCACAGTTGCTTTATTTCAGAAGGTCAATTTTTGAAGTTCTAATTAATAACTGATATGAGAATTAAATACTTAATTTTGTATTATCTGTAGCATAGTATTGCCTGCACATTCTAGTCAGTAATATCTATTCCTACTTTATGCAGGGAATAATTCCTGCAAGATATCTCTCCGTTTCAGTGTCTTTTAATAATTGTAAGTTCTCTCATTAAAATACTCTCTTACCAGTGAAATAAAGTTACTGGAACATTCTTACCAAATTAATTTTTGTTGAAATCAATCTGCTGTTCATTCCATTTAGCAATTTTTGTCTTTTGGACATTCACTACTTTTTGTTTTCTGTAGGATTTTGGAGATGGGGGTGCCTTCCCAGAAATTCACGTGGCCCAATATCCATTGGATATGGGCCAAAAGAAGAAAATTTCCAATGCTTTGGCTCTTCAGGTGGATGCAGAAGGAAAAATAAAATACGATGCAATTGCTCGGCAAGGACAGTCAAAGGACAAGGTAATGTTTCTCCCAATAAGTCAGCTGGCATGTATACTTGGAAAAGTTGTGTATACACATTGCATATACTTGAACTCATTGGTCTGTCATTGGCCACATTGATTGTGTCCTCTTTTCTTATTTAAGAATTAAAATAATGTCAGACAGAAACTGTGATCTTCTCTGTTATGTAATTAAAAGATAAGGCAAAAATGGGGAAAATCTCTACACATAACTTACCTGATGGCTTAGCAGTTTTCATTTTCCAATGAAGGTAAGAAACTGAAAACAGTTCTGTGACCTCGTTTTAGTGTGTAGAGAGAGGGAACAAAAAAACTGGACAGAAAACACAGGTCAGCCTTCAGGATACTGCACCTTGTGTCTTACTGATCCAATATTTGACACCGCTGGTTGTTTTCAGTGGTTTTGGTGCTCTGTTTTTGCTATTGTTTTTTAATTGCAGCAGCAAATATTGCCAGTGGTTATACTGCAAAAGTTTTGTGCTGCGTTCAGAGAGAGCAAGATTCTCATGGAGTTTTTTAGGGGGAACTTGAACTCCCTGTATCCAGTAACCTTTCTTAAACCAAGAGATGACACTTGAGGTCCTAAATAGTTTTGAGGAGATCAGGTACTTGGGTCTTCTAAGTCTACTTTAAGGAGTATTTACACCTGCCTTTTCAAGTATAACCAGATTGTGTAGACTTTAATTCTCTAAAGCAGGTGTTGGGGGTTGGAAAACTTCTGAGGCCTGACAAAGTGTGTGACCAGCTGCTTCTTCCAGCAAGCATCTTCTGTAAAGAAAGTCTAAAAAGTGTTAACTACAAATAGTGTTTTAGCTAATAGATATGAATAGTTGTTGTCAAAATAATTTGATTTCTTGGGCTTTAAATTAGGGTGCCTTGAATGCTTATGATTATGTAATATGCCCCATGTCTCGCTACATTTGAGGAAGGGAGGAAACCAAAATATAAACTTTACCTGTCAATCAAAAAAATAGGGTGGACATTCTAAGAACATCAGGGAAAATACTTTTAACAGATAAATTTGTTATTTTAAATAGATTCTACAGCCAGTAGGATTTCATATTTAATTAATACTTTGAGTGTCAAAGCATCACATCTTGTGTATCCTCATCCTATGCCTCATATGTTACTGCAGTACCGTTGAAAAAGATGGACTGCATACTGTTATGTGGAAGAAAGTAATTAGATTTCACAAGCAGTGGCAATATTTTTATTGAGGGGACTTTTCTTGAAGTTTCATCAGGCTTTATCTAATGCCTGGAATTATTTTTCAAGAGGAAGATGTTAAAATATTAATTCTGTTCAAATAATTTTTTTACTCAATATTTGATACTTCATGCTAAATAGAAGTGTTACTTTGTTGAAAGCATACAAAATAATTTCAAGCTGATAATTAGACAAGAAGTAATCATACCAATTTTAGGTGTTATTATTTAAAGTTAGGAAAATGCTTCTTAACAAGTAGAGTTAAATTTAAGCTTTAACGTTTGTCATATTTGATTAATGAAGATCTGTACTTTCATTAACTTTCCATATGGTGTCTATAATGAAGGCAGTAATATTCTTTCACCAAGATGGAAGAGATATGGGACTTTTCTAAAACTAGGCTCTGTAGAACTGTAGAGTTAGGGTTTCCTAAATCCTGAGCTCTGCCTTCTGTGTCAGGTTGATCTTGATTGCATCCAGCTGGATGTAAAAGCTGAGAGTAAAGATGAAGTATTCTGATTCAAAGGGGAGTAAAACTGAGGGAAGATTAGATCACAGATTCATAGAATGGTTTGGGTTGGCACACCCTCTTCCAGACCAGTTTGGTCAGAGCCTCATTTATTCTGGCCTTGAACACTTCCACGAATGGGCTATCCGTAGCTTCTCTGGGCAGCCTCTTCCAGTACTTCACCACCCTCATAGTAAAGAATTTCTTCCTAATCCTGACCTAAACCTGCCTTCCTCCAGCTTAAAGCCCTTCCCCCTTGTCATGGCCTTGTAAGAAGTCCTTCTCCAGCTTGTAGGTTCCTTTAGGTACTGGAAGGCTGCTGTAAGGTCTCTCTGGAGCCTTCTCTTCTCCAGGCTGAAACACTACAAACTCTTTCAGCCCATCTTCATAGAAGAGGTGCTACAACCCTGTGGTCAACTTAGTGGCCTCTTCTGGACTCATTCCAACAGGTCAAGGTTGTTTTTGTGTTTGGGGCCTCAGAGCTGGATGCAGTACACCAGCTCAGGTCTCACCAGAGCAAAGCAGAGGGGCAGAATCACCTCCCTCAATCTGTTGGCCACACGGCTTTTGATGTAGCTCAGGATAAAATTGACTTTCTGTGCTGCAACAGCTATTTTAAACAATTTCACTAGAAACAGCAGAACTACTATTGCTTGGTTTGATTTGCTTTGCAGGAGGAAGTATTGGCAGAGATGTCATAGGAAATAGTTCTTCAGTGATCTGTGTTGAGTTGCATATTTTCTCTTAAGAGCTTCTGATAGTACAGTGTCAGTAGGATTAGATACAGAAGTTTCATTTTCCAGAGAGCTGCAGCTATAATTCAATTCATTAAGTTTCTTCAATCTAAATACTTAGAGCTAAAAGAAACCGATACTTCGCAGCCTGCCAGAAATGAGATGGAGTTTATGAACCTATTGTAGGAGCTACTTGTTTGGTCTGAGTTAGGAAGCAAATTCTGTTCTTGCTACAGCTTACGGATTTTTTTGAAGCTGAATTTAGTATTCTGCCTTCTTGTAGAAGCAGCAGTTCCATCACCCAGCCCCTATCTCTAGATGACTTGTCAGCAGTTTCTGCTATTGTAGTGGTTCATCTCCCATGCATCTGTTCTCTTATGTATTTAAAACATAGTGGCTTCAGAGAATTTTCCTTGAAAAATACTGACATCAATGTGATAGTCTGACAAGCCTCCTGTTAGGGTTTGGCAGAAAGTCTGCTAGACATGAAATGCTGGATAAGGTTGACAGGCCTGGGTGCATGACCTCATGGATCTGTAGATGGAGTTCCATCTGGCTGTCGATATGAAGGATTTCTAGCCCAGCTGTGTGGTTAGTTCTTGTACCACTGTAGTAGTTTCTCTACTTACATTACTAAAAGCCAGCCTAAAATAATGCATCAGTAATTATGTGTTTTGATGAGACTGGTGCTGTCTCTTTATTAGGAAAATAAGAACATGTAATTACATCTTGTATTTTAATGAAGACAGAAGAAAGAGTGAAATCAAGGAATGGAACTGTTAGGTCTTTTACTTTTTTCCAGCAAGAATAACTTTATATGCTGGCATTAGATTTCTTCATGGCCCAAGGCTGTGGCTTATTTGTTAAAGGAGAAAAAAACAATAATGAAGCTTATTTACAGGTTTTGTTCTCAAGATTGTCTATTCAATCAAAGCATTTACAAGAGATTAGTTGCATTGTTGAAGGAAGTCCTGTCACAGGTAGGGGACAGGTCAAGAGAACATGAATCTAACTCAAACAATCAAAAGTGTTACTCACAACTTATTTGCCTTTGTGGCAGAATTTGGTTTGAGAGTTTGTTACCAGCTTGTTTTCTGGGGTGTGTACCAGGCTTACAACCAGGTCATCTTAACGACTTCTTAAATTTTATATGCTTCATATGGAGAAACCATTCTTTGACAAGGAAGGCATTCATGCTGCGTTGCTTGATAGTAAATTCTTGATTTACTTATAGGATTGATGAGCAGTGTACAGGGCTGATTGAAATATACAGAGCAAAAGATCTTGAGAATTTCTGTGTAGCAAATGAAATTTCTATTAAGACACTTGCTTCTGGTAAGTACCTTATGAGACTCTGAATGTGGTTGATGTCTAAATCCTGCCATGCGGTACAGTATCATAACCAGTTAGGTAATATTCTCTTTCTGATTGTAGTGGCATGCAGATTTCTAATTGCTGCCTGTTAAGGCTGCCCCAGACAGGGAATCGTGCAATTATAGCAAAACTTGAGGTTTTTCTTTCTGCCTAGAAGAAGATTCTGCTCTTCAGTAGCAATCAGAGTGATTGCTCAGGCTTATGCTTCCTTTTAAATTTTGTAGATTGAAAAATGGTAGCGGATGGGCACAGTACAATATCAAACAATCCCAGTCTCTTCTTTAGCTTAGATGAATGTAATATCTCAACATTACTCATAAAACAAGAGAAATGTCTAGAAAAACAACAAAAAGAAATGTAAATTCTTTATCTGCCTCTTGTTACCACTTCAGAGAAGGGCTACAATTAAAACATGCAACTGTATCAAGTTTTTGATGGCAACAGAAATACTTGTATTTTCAGAATAGTTTATATTATATATTTCTTCCATAATAAAGCAGCTTGCCATTTCCATGCAGCACTTCAGAGTTTAAATAGTTCATATAGATAATTTGTATGTTAATGTAAAGTAGTTTTTATATCGCTCTTGGACCACCACAAAGAGTAGCTTCTTTAATTTTCTTTTTTTTTTTTGTCTTTTGGGATGCTCTAAAGCTCCTTCGGCATACTTTGTTTTTCATATTCTTCTTCAGCAAGACACTTGGACCTGTGAATTAATTACCTTAGAGGTTAATTTCTCTTCAGATGTCCTTCATTCAAGATCTGAGAAGCTAGAATATTACTGATACTAATTCAAATGATTAAAATTTTAGGTGTGAAGGCTGAGAAGCAGAAAATGGCTCACATGTGGTTAATTAATGGTGAGACTAAAGGTTAATTTTGTAGTTGGACATGTACTGTATAATGAAATAATAGTTCTTGACTTCTAACTCTTTGAACTTAAACTTCTTATTTTATTGGATACATGTGAAGCATTAATGTAATACATTTTTCTGTAAAGCCATCTAATAGTGTTCTTTCCCTGTATTTAAAATTGGGACTTAGAGCTGCCAGGAGCTAGCTGCATGTTGTGTGAAAACTCAAGTACCTATATAAGGGAAAGTGTCCAGACCAAGTTTTTTGGTTTTTTGTTGTTTTGTTTTTTTTTTTTTTTCCCAAGGAAACAGTAAACATAATGAAATGAAAAAATACAGATTGTGGAAAATACTTGTATCAAATTCTTGAGTAATCCTTGAAAATAGAAGTAAAAATGTGCGGGGTTTTATCAGTTTGGGGTCCCTAAAAAATGAAAATACTAGGAATGGGAAGCAGAAAACTGCTGTCTAATGCCAGCTCTGAAAGCAACATACACAATTCTATTTAAGCAGATTGCTTTGTTTCTTCGATTACTCCATCTGTAAAATGGGTTCCAGAGTATATATGTAAACAGGTCTTCTAATTGAACAATATGTAATTGAAATGCATTTATAGTTGTATATTAATTTTAATTAGTACCCAAAGTATAGTCTAAGCCTGAAACATTTCTTTTGATATATGTACATTTATTCCTGTTCACCAGCACTAGTAGAATCTAATGTCTTCCAGGTTATTTACAGCAAGTACACAGATCTTGTGCCAAAAGAGGCCATGGATGTGGGTGATCCTGAACTGCAAAGACCAGATGAGGAGGCAATTAGAGAGGTATTGTATGCACTGATGCGCCTATTTAGCAGTGGTATGCTTTATGCCTTGCAATGGGGTGAGATGTACGCTGTGGTTTTATTCTTCAGATAACAGAGAAGACAAGAGCAGCCTTGGAGAAATCAGTCTCCCAAAAAGTTGCAGCAGCCATGCCAGTTCGAGCTGCTGACAAACTAGCTCCTGCACAGTACATTCGGTATGTAGTGCTGGTGTTTGTGTAAAATGGTGTGATCAATGAAATGGATTAAAATTGGCCTATTTGTTGAATTTCTGAGAACAGAAATTCCTCTTGATTTTTATTCTTCTGTAAGGAATATGAAACTTGCTTCTACATTTTGAATTAACCCACTAATGATCACCTAGTTCGAAGTGTGTAGAAATATGTCTTTAACATGTCATGAGTTATGGAACTTTGGAGGGGTTATTATTTTATCAAAATTCACAGATTTGCTAGGGGTCACTATTAATGATGCTGCCTTGAATTCAAAGTATTTACTGCAAGTTTAAAGCCACAACAAGACATGCACTAAAGTTTTTCCTTCACAGAAAATGAGTAGTTGGAAACAATTGGAATTATGAGGAGGCTGATATTTATTTATGATGATTTTCAGTTTCAAACGTGGAAAAATTTCATGGCAGGGTTAGACTTTGCTTGAAGTCAATTTTGAAAAAAGGTATGTGAAGAGGTTCTTAATGAAGAGTAAGAAGATGCCAGGGCTTCACAGATGTAGGCTGGGAGTATTGTAACAAGCTATGTGTACTGTACTTGTTTTTCTTGTATTTCAGAATCTAGATTGAAACAGGAGAATATAGCCCTGAAGAGAAGTTAACATTCTTTCTGGTGTAACCGAGTCTGCACTCAGTGCAGTTACCTGCTGCTGACGTTCACAGTGGCGTAGTGTTAAACTGTTGTGGATAAAACAAAACTACAGCTAGAGCAGTGAACTGAGTGAAAATGGAGGTGGGAAAGGACTATCTATCTATGTGCAGAGAGCTGAGCACTCTGTTTTGTTCAGGTACACACCATCTCAGCAAGGAGTTGCATTCAACTCTGGAGCAAAACAGAGAGTTATTCGGATGGTGGAAATGCAGAAGGACCCTATGGAGCCTCCAAGATTCAAAATCAACAAGAAGATTCCACGAGGACCACCATCTCCTCCAGCACCTGTAATGCACTCTCCAAGTAGAAAGGTATGAAATGCCATAGCTGTTCTCAGTTTTGAATGCTTAGGTGGGTCCACAAATTCTTTTTCGATCTAGTTAATTTCTCTGTACCTTCTCATTACTGATCTTTTGATGTGAAGGGATAAACTTGGTGCCCAGTGCAGTCTTTTTTGTTTGTTTATTTCTTTTTTTCATTTGGACAGTTCTGAAAGTAGCTGACTTTTCATTTATCTTGTCAAAGGTTGAGTAGATGTCTCATATATTTTCTTCAGGGATGCATTGCTGAATGTGTTCATGGCATGAATGAGTTGACAAAGGCTTTAGCCTGGGTAATCTTATGTTGCTTTTAGACAAGACTGTTAAGCTAATCCTTAATAACACTGACTTGTGTTATTAAGGATTAGCTCCTTCTGAGAGACGAGTGTAGTGGTGGTTCATCAGTTTGGTACAACTGGAATAGCTGCTAAATGTGTGGATGTTAACAAGCTGGCTGTGAGTTAAGGCCTGTGTGATGAAAGCTTAAGAGGATGCTGAAGAGCTGTCAGGACTTTATTCAGTGTTGGCAAAGATACAGTGCAAAAATAATTCTCATGGCAGAGGGTTTGGAACTAGCTGATCTCTAAGGTCCATTCCAATCAAACCATTTCTTGATTCTGTAATCTTACTGCTGCTAAGAAGAGCTGGGGTTCTGTTATTGTTTCTGTTCTACTCTTATTTCAATAGTTTCATAGCTGCCTTTGAGAAAGAAAACAGTATTTCCTTTGACTATAAATCTGAAGATGACTTTGCTTATTCTCTTAAATCAGATGACTGTGAAAGAGCAGCAAGAGTGGAAAATTCCTCCATGCATTTCAAACTGGAAAAATGCAAAGGTAATTAAGTTGTCATAAATTTATTTTTCTCATGTTGCACCCTGATGGGAAACTTAAGTAACTGATTTAAGCTTGAATAATACTGATGTTAAACATTTAGGGTTAGGTAAACTGGCTGCTTCCTGCATGGAAAATACATAATGATACAGTTAATTTTTCTTCAGTTTGGTATATAAAGGTTGTCCAATTGACAAGTATAGAACTGAGGGCGAATATGTTACTTCATGGCTGAGATTATAAAATTTGAGAGGAAAAATTTATGCTAGTTAAAATCCCCATAATGGTGCAGTCCAGAGACAAAATCGTTTAAGGTCGCCAAGTAAAGCCATCTAAACTGAAAAAGAGGAGACTCAGAGACCCAAGCATGTTTCTTTTTAATACTGCAGTCCATATTTCTGGAAAGTTTCCCTTGTTGCATTCTTTCATTAATTAATTTTTGTCACTGGTTAGCTAGCTATTTTTGTTCCTTGTTTGAGTAGGTATGTCCTGTCCCTTTGATTTTTATCAGTTATTAATATTATATTCCTAAAGAGGGGAGAATTTATTTGCTGCAGTAACTGGTCTGATTATTCTGAAATGTTGAAACTTGTCCTGAGACAGCCTCTTCAAATGGAGGAAGGAAAAGCTGTATGTTTGGATGTCACTTTTTTTCCCTACCCCAGCACAGCTGTCTAACTGGGGCTGACTGATTAGGAGATGAAATTTTAGGTTACAGATGCTAAAACCAAAGCAAAAATTTTGTAGAGCTCACTAAAAAAATCTTCAAATGTAATCTATAAATAATTTTGAGTTTCAGCTTTGGAAAACAAAATTGGCATTTAGTGTCTTACTTTTGCTGGCTGCCTTGTCCCTTACTTTCTCATTTTGAATCAGCTAATCTCTTAGCAGGTATGGAAACAGTTTAGGTAAAACAGCTTAGAGACTGGAGAAGTTTTTATCTGTAGTTATTAAAACAAAGCAAAAAGTGGACCTTATAATTTGAAAACTGTCTTTTGTCCTGAGATGAACCTTGAAGGAAAGCTGTGATTTGGATTTGGTGGGCAGGTGGAATTGGAGTGATGTTTTGTATTACCTGGCAAGAATTTGAAGTACATTTAAAAAGGAGATCCATTGAGGCATAATAATGATGGGCTGTGAATTTTTTATGTGTTTTGGTTTTTTTGCACAACAAATACAATAATGCTTGTTAGAACAAATACTGTTTTTGTGATTAACTGCCTGTCTGTTTCCACTGTAGGGTTACACCATTCCATTAGATAAACGTCTGGCTGCAGATGGCAGAGGATTGCAGACTGTCCATATTAATGAAAACTTTGCCAAACTTGCTGAGGCGCTCTATATTGCTGACAGAAAGGTCAGGTAGTTCTTAACACTGTTTTGTTCCATATAGTTTTGCCATCTTTCTATGTTAATTTCCTTCAGAAAATCAGCTGTGAATAGGCTATAGCTTTTTGATTTGTCCTGCTTCTTTGCTAACGTAAGACTTAAGGCCTTATCATACCCAATCTCTCTGAATCATGGGCTCACCATGGGTTAAGTTAATGGAAGTCATGGGTCTTATCTCTCAGCTCTAACTGCTGTGGCTGATGGGCTTTAAGCTTCCTAGTTTTGACTTTATTTCTGTCCTGTTTACTGGCTAACTCCATGACAGATCTGTGTGTATCCCAGGTGCTACGTTTTCTGTAGTTTTAACCGTGTCTTTTTTGTGCAGGCTCGTGAGGCAGTAGAGATGCGTGCCCAGGTGGAGAGGAAGATGGCTCAGAAAGAAAAAGAGAAACACGAGGAAAAGCTCCGAGAAATGGCTCAGAAAGCCAGGGAGAGAAGAGCAGGGATCAAAACCCATGTTGAAAAAGGTACATTTCTTAGATGCTATGGTTTTTTTTTAATACTCTGAAGTGTGGGTTTGGAGCAATAATCTAAGAACTTAAAATATCTAAATACCAGCTGAAGTTTTTAAGTATGACATCAGTTTGTGTCCTTATTGATTAATTCACTGGCTGGTTTGATGGGATGTAGGTTTGAACCTCACATTTGTAAGTTGGTGTATACAGGCTTAAGACACTGAGAATTTTGAAGTTAATAATGCATCTGTGCAAGTGATGGCTTTCATGGACAGTTCTAAACTAATTTTTTAAGCATATTGCAGATGAAGGGCAGATTTGTCTAGAAGAACTAAACCATCTCCAAGTTATCAAAGGTGATAAATGCAATATTCTGGCTCTTGCACTGTTGTAACTGATTTTGCAGAACTGCAATTTTGTTGGTCAGCAGGCCCCAAAAAATCCTGCTGCCAACCTAATTAAATTGTCTCCATTGTGATAAGACTTCTGTTCTGATTGAAATTACACTTCAAAGATCAAGATGATTGTCAAACCATGACAATCTTAGAGAACTTAAGAGAGCAGTTACGATCTCTTCAGAAGATGGAGGGATATGGTCATATAGTGCCAAATGTGGCAGCTGGGATGTACTAACCTCTTACCAACAGGCTGGGGGCTGTCCAGCTGGAGAGCCACTCTGTTGGAAAGGACCCAGGAGTTGTAGTAGACAATATGCTGAATATAAGCCAGCACTGTGCCCTGGCAATAGTAATGCTAAGGACATACAAAGCTGCATCTGCAGAAATGTAACCAGTAAGTCAAGGGAAGTAATAATTTCCTTTTATTGGTGACCTGTTAGACTTCATCTGGAGTACTTTGTGCGGTTATGGGCCTCCAGGTACAAGGAAGACATTGATGAATGGGAGTCAGTTCAGTGAAAGGGCATTGGAATGATCACGGGGGTTGAGTAACTGCCTGTTCAGGAGATGCTGAGAGAATAAGGCTTGTTCTGCTAGGAGGTGATGTGCCATTGGGGCCAGATAATGGCAAGGTTACCCAGAAGATCATATCACAGTGATCCCTAAATGATTATCAGAGCGCTTCACCAAGTTGCACGGTGGTCGAATGAGACATTGGTCAAGAGTTGAAGCAGGAGGTTTCAACTGTGTCAGGAGAAAAATTTACACCATGAGGACAAACAGCAGTGGAACAGGTTGCCTAAGAAATCTGTCAGTCTCTATCCTTGCAGGTTTTCCTCACCTGAGTGGGAAAAAGCCTTGACCAACTTGGTTTGAATTCAGCATTCATAGCAGATTTTGAATTAGACTCCCTTCCTGAGTGGTTTTCTGATACTGCATCACATAATGTTCTTCAAAACACTTAAATCCCTCCATGTTTCAATGATACTTCTATGCTTAGAATTATGATATGATCTGTAAATGTTTTAGGATATTAATTCTTAGACAGACAATTATTCTAAGCTCTTGAAAGATGGAAGAATGTAGTGGTTAGGATGTTTGCTTTGACTTACCAAGAACAGTCACTTTTTGGGGCATAAGAAAGCTGTGGTGTTCATGTATTCAGTTTATTTAAAGTGTAACATTTTAAATCGTGCTAAGGGTCACTACTCTTCTGTAGAATAATACTGAATTGAATTACTGTGCCAATGTCTATGGCATAATTAATTCAAACTTCAATTATTTGTCTATAATGAGCAATCTTTACTTATTCAGAGGATGGAGAAGCTAGAGAAAGAGATGAAATCAGACATGACAGGCGCAAAGAGAGACAGCATGACAGAAACCTTTCCCGGGCAGCTCCAGATAAAAGGTGAGTCACAAAAAAAAGCTGGTTTATTCCTCTACTGGCACTGGCTTCCCCACTAGGGAGCCTACTACTGGGCTTTCCTTTTTTGATATGAGTCCCTGATTTATATTTTGTGGAGATAGTCACTGGTATGAAGCACAGTTTGTTCATTGCATGAAAAGGCATTATTGTGTTAAAGAACTGTACTACTTTCTTCAAAATGTAGAATTTTCCACATGAATGGGAAAGAGGAGTGTGCTGTGTTGGTTTTGGGTGGGTTTTTCTTCAGTGGGACTTCAGGTTTAATGTTTTATGTTCAGGTTTAACTAACATGTTGACAGCAAAGATTGAAACCTGAATCTTCTAATTTTGGTGAGACCAGAATTACCAATAGTGGCTTTGTTTCTTGAAGCTATTCATTTTAAGTAAGCTTAGATTTATGAAGGTAGCCTGAAGTATCTTATTAGCTGAAGCCAGAGATTTCTGAGTGCAAATGGTTTCTGGATGCTTAAAATCTCTAGTTGTTGAAATTGGATTGCTCGGCCTTTCCAGAATATAACTACACTCATTCTTGCAAAAAAATAAATATGACATTTTAAACCAAGTCAGCTTGATGTGAATTGCAGATAGTAGAAAGCAAATTTAAATGTCATGCCCAGCTGAACATAACTTTTCCAAATGTTTCCTTTGCCAGGAGACAAATTTTAAATGTTACCTAGTAAGGAAGAACAACAGTCAAAATCTGGCTCCTGAGGCAAATCGTTAGCAAGGAATACAGGATTGGGTTGCAATTGAGCATGTCAACAAGTATGGTTTACTGACCTCATAAAACTTTCAAATTTTTAATTCAGGTCAAAGCTGCAAAGAAATGAGAACAGAGATATTAGTGAAGTTATTGCCCTGGGGGTACCAAACCCCAGGCCATCCAATGAAATCCAGTATGACCAGAGGCTGTTCAACCAGAGCAAGGTAAAATACCTTTTCACAGCTGTGCATCTTTCTGTGAGAACATGCTCATCCTTCCTTTGTGGGTACAGAGAGAATACTAAAGAGAGGCTGTGTTGGTTGGAACAACCAGAAAATTCAGAAAACAAATCATTCAGAAACATTTAAAAAAAAAATCTTTACATAAGTTTTGGGAAACTATTGATTTCTTTTATCCAGAGCCTATGCAAAAAAAAAAAAATTGAAGTGTGTAGCTGGATTAAAGTGATTTTTCTCACTGGGGAGTGGGGAGAAAAACTATTTTGCCTTCAAGCTGCAGTGACCTCATTTTCTTCTCTTGAACAAATGTACTGTCTAAATAGGAAATCTGCTTTTAGAGAGAAGCAAGTAAATACTTTCTATTCCCATTACTGCTTGTGCTAATACTTCTGAAGATACAAAAAGTTAACAGCAACATTTATTTTCCCTGAATTTGATACTATTCAGAGATGACAAAATAGTATTGGCTTCAGCAAATCCCTCAATAGACCTGCAGTTTGTCAATCACTCTTCTTCATGTCTCCAATGAAAGACTTATAGGCAAGGAGGGAAAGCTGATGAACCAAAAATGAACAAGCAGATACTTATACTTTCAGAGTTTATATAAGCCTCTGTGTGATTTGGATCAGTCAGCTTAAATCATGTTTTCCAGAAATTCTGAATAACACACATTTCTGTATGGTTGTACGTAGCTATTACAGACAGCTGTACTTGCAGGGCAGACTGAAATGATCTGTTATTCTGAAATGTGGATGGCCTGTAATCCTTCCTGTTGCTATCTGGAAAAGTAGGACTGAGGCTTGTAATTTGATATTCTCTGGACTTAATCCCAGACCCACTCACATCCTCATTAAGTGCTTGGACTCATTTGAAATCAATCATAAATCACACCATGTCATCTTTGTGTAACTGTGTAACATCATCAGTCTATTTTGTTGATAAAATGTTAGCTGACGTTTTGTCGATTAACTTATGGTGTCCTGCTGTTCTTACAGGGTATGGACAGTGGCTTTGCTGGAGGAGAGGATGAAATTTATAATGTTTATGACCAGCCTTGGAGAAGTGGCAAGGATATGGCCCAAAACATCTACAGGCCAAGTAAAAATCTAGATAAGGACATGTATGGTGATGATCTAGAGGCTCGAATCAAGACCAACAGGTAAGGACATAAATTTAAGAAATATTCTTAATTAATACTTTGAAGATAGTCAACTGAGTATCATCTTCTCCTGCAGGTTTGTTCCTGACAAAGAGTTTTCTAACTCAGATCGTAACACCAGAGGCAGGGGCAGAGATGGACCAGTTCAGTTTGAGGAGGATCCATTTGGTTTGGACAAGTTTCTGGAAGAAGCTAAGCAACATGGTGGTTCTAAACGGCCATCAGACAGCAGCCGCCCTAAGGAACATGAGCATGAGAGCAAGAAGAGGAGGAAGGACTGAATGCCTCTGCTCCTTGAGAGGTAGGGAAATGGACTGCAAGCTTGGACTTCATGCAAAAGGATTTTTAATATTAGGTGTACAGGAGGATGGCGTTGTATCACAGCAGTTCACAACTCTGGCCGTGTGGATATATGTACACGCACTAACTTTTCTATATAGGACAGCTACCCAAGGAGAGAGAAGACATGGAGACCACTTTGAAACATTTCATAAGGGAATGAATTATTCTTTAGCAATTCTCTGACTTTGCTGATTCTCCATTGCCCAGCATCTCAGGGTCAGAATGTAGCCCCCTTCCTACAGCTTTAGTTTTTTTGTAGGTAGCTGAAGCTTTGACTTGATCTGTTAGGAGCTTTCCTGCTGTATATAATGATCGTCTTATGCTTTAACAGATGCTGGGGTGTTAATAATTCAGTGTTTTAGTGTGGCTATACAGTTTATTTGAACAAGGAGGGGAAACAGCTGGATTCTGTTTTAAAACAAGTACTCAGTCATAGTTTCTCAGTAATCTTTATTTTAGTTTCTTTACATTTAGTGAAATAAAGCCTCCTTCCACCACTCATTCACTTTGAGTCTTTCTTTGACTGCGTCTTCTACGGATCTGCTGTTTGAGAGCGAGCTGAAAACAATGGAAATTATTGAAATTAGCTAGGCAATAAAGTTTGTTATTTTTCATTTCTGATTACTGAGAACATTAATACATACAGCAGAAGATGCATTTATAACTGATTCAGTTTAATAAGCCCCAAACCAGAGCTTTCCTGGCAGGAAAGTTGAATATATATCCACAGCATTTGATAGTAGGTTGTACCAGCAAAATGCATCTTAAAAGCTTGTGCTTTCAACTGGGAATAATAAAAAGTAACTGTCTAAACCTAACCTAGAAAAAAGTGGGGAAAAGTGCTCATGTATTCTAGAGAAGCCTGCATTTTTTAAGAAATTAAAGTAACTACTGCTTGCCTTCTGCTTTTTATTTCACTATAAAGAAGCCTCTTAGCTTGCACCTTTTGTGAGGGTATAGTCTTTGAAGCCTAGGTAGTTAAATGCGTGTGGCTATCCTTACATCTTCAAGAACAAAAAGCAGCAAAAATTTCCAGGAAATTGACACTAAATACTATGCTATTTCTAGTACCTAATTTGATAATTGCTTACAGGTAACATCCTAGTTGAGCACAATTTATGAAGGAGCAGCCTACTGCCACTCTAATCACAGTTTAAGAAGTCTTAATTTCTGCTCCCATTTTTGTACCACAGTTGGAATTTGCAGGTTGGTTCTTCTTGGGAATAGGTACTGAAGTAGCCCCAACCAATGATGACTTAGGCAGTAATATGAACCAAACCATGGCAAGGAAAATACCACAATCAAAATACTGCATTGCTGAAGTCTCTCATTAATTCCTTTTACTATCTCCTAGCATTTAAAGTCTCAAAATAAGAAATTAGTTATTGAAAGGATATTGAAGAATTCTAATAAATTAATCAAAGGCTTGAACTGATTGAGCAACAGGCAGGCTGGTGTATCAGACACAGGGTTTCACTCTCTACTACGCCATTTAAGTAATTTTATCAGCTGAAGAACATGTAAATCTGTAAGAAAATCCCCTATTTAGGGAACATACCAGATGTGTGTTTCCAATTATTTTGATATGACAGCTGTTAATAAAATGGCTTTTGGCAGCCATTGACTCACTGTTCTTTATTCCTTATCTATCAACACCAGTGTACACTACATGTTGGGAAAGCAGTGAGATGGCTTTGCTGTGTTTCTGTGCTGAGGTGAAGCTGGAGGATACAGTTGTCTGGGTATAGCTAACCAGTCAAGGACAGACACTTCTGTATGTGTACTAGACCATTACACTGTCTCAATGCCATACATTAATGCACTGAGACTGCCAAAGTGTTGTATTTTTTCCTTTGCTAACATTTAAAATGTTAAAGATGGAGAGAACAAGACCCTACTCCACAGTGATTTTAGAGTTGTCTTGAACACATGAAAGGAAGCAGCTGATTTCTCCTGTATGAAATGACAGCTGGAGAAAATAGAAATTTCACTGAAGTTCGAAGCTTAGCATCATTTTCTTTATCATGTTCCCCCTGCCACTCAACATCCAAAGCAGATGTTGGAACCCACCTGCAGAAACCTGCATTACAAACTGCAAACGAGTTGCACAGCAAATCCCAACCAGTTTTACTGCATTCACATTATTTCAGCATAGCAGGAGTTTTTGGTCTCTTGAGTGTGATCTTTCTTGTATCTCTATGATCTTGACCCCTAACAACTCAGGTTGAGAGGAGGGAATAAACAGAAGTGGTAATGATTTAAAAAACATTAAAAGCACGCTAAGTGACAAAATTCTTAACCACCCTTTGAAAGAATATAGTAATAAAGGAACTGGCACATTACCTTGGAACCTTCAAGAATGTGGGACTCCTTCTGTAACACATTCTGAACTTCTTCTGGAGTTGAGAATTTAATCCAGCAATAACGTCTGTGAAAGCCTGTATTTCTGTCCTAATTACCAGTTAAAAAAATAAAATGCAATTACTATAGGAAATATTCACATAGGCTGTTAAAAACTTTCTACAGATACTGAATTTAAAGATTCAGAAATTATCAGAGGAATTGGCACACTTGCTGTTTCAGAAGCCTTTTTCATGCTAAGACATTTGCTGTTGGTGACAGCGTGGGGGGTCTAGCAAAGACTGTTCTACATCCCTTTCAATTTGAATCTAGCAAAAATAACAAAAAATCACAATCTTAAGATATAGCTGAAGCCTGGAATACTGTGTAGACAGTAGTTTCAAACTGCAGTCAATCTACAAATATTCCAGTCACAACAGAACTGACATTTTAGTGGCCACAGTACTTGAACAGCATTCAGCAAGATAAAGCAGCTGCTTAAGAGACATTTTATTATTATTAGAAATAAAACATTATTTTTAGACATAATTTGCCAGTCAGAAAAGACAGTTCTCAATAAACAGGTGATAATGAGGAAAAGCCACGTATATCCAAGTGCCTTCTGTCCCTACTCTGATCCCACTCAGAGTTCACAACAGCTAAGCCACTCTCACCATCAGGCATTACTGGCAACACTTCCAAACCACTACAAGGTACTGCCTGGTTTCAGTATCACAGTGATGTCTAAATTAGGCTGTCCTACACTGGTGATTTTTGTACCTCTGGGTTTTAAGCATTAATGAAACTCCTCAAGTAATCACTGAATCTAAACGTACACATGTGCATCACTTAAATCAGTAATGGAGGTGGGTTTGTGGTAAGCTACCAGACTTTGCAACCGAACAAGGTAGTCTGACCTGAGCTTGAGGAAAAACATGACAGGCAGGGCACCTAAGCTTCAAGTGTTCAAAACAACCAGCCTGTTTCAAACTTTCTCCATTGCCAAACTAATCCTCAACAGAGAGTAAACCCATCAGCTCACTAACTGAAGTTCACTACACATTGAGCTTAATTTAACAGTGTTACTTCAAGTGGAGAAACAAGCAGACAGAACCTTTACACTTAGAGCAATGGCCTACAAAGGAACATTTTTTCTAACTGTTTATCTCTAAAAAAGTGCACTAGATACTACAATCCCCAATCTAGACACTCAGAAGATAAACAGCCTAAACGGCAGACACTGGCAGCACCCTGCAGAGGTTATGGGTTTTGTGTTAGTCCTGCACTCTGGATGGGGTCTGAATCCACAGCAGAAAAAGATGGTAGGTTCATATCCACATCTTTAGTTTTTGGCTAGTGAAACCAGGCACACAAAAATGTTATTCTCTACTAGAAGAATAGCATCACGATGATAGAGAAGCTCAAAGCACTTAGATTAATTATTCAGAATGACAGCATCAACAGGACGTGAAGGATGTACTTTGTAAAGCTCTTTGAAAGCCAATGGAAACCACTAAGCTTCAGTAAGGCCAAACGCTGGCAGACAAGTGGTGGCGTTCCTGGAAGAAGGAGCTAAGTGTAGAAGGTGCTGAAAACCTCACTAGAGTTCAAGATGAGCTCCAAGGAAGCGGGAACCTGCTTGGGGGCAAAGCCTCAGCCGCAGGAGCAGCCAGCGGCTCTTCCCCGCTTCGCCGAGAAGAACACGAAGTGCGGCCCGGAGGACGCGCGGGTACTCACGAAAGGCAGCTGGCACCTCTGCACCAACCCGAACTGGGAGAAGTACTCCTTCAGCTCCTCTGTGGGAAAATGCAGCAGGTTACCCGGGCCCGGCGCCGCCCTGGCCCGACCCCGGCCTGTGCCGGCACACGCGGCGGGGCCGCTCAACACCGCCAGCCCCAGCAGCGGCGAGGGATGGGAGGGGGGACGCAGACTCACTGCTCGACACCGTCCAGGGAACCTCAGCCACGAAGATGTCGAAGAGCCGCCGGGAGCGGCGCCCCGCCGCCCGCACCGCACTGGCGGCCGCCATGTCGGACCTGCGCTGAGGGGGAGGGACGGGGGGAGGGCGGGCCGGCCCCGCCCCGGCCACCCGAAATGGCGGCGGCGGCCCTGACCCGTGAGGGTGGGGAGGATGCTTTCCGACGCCTCTTTCGCTTCTATCGGCAGCGCGACGCGTCCGATCTGCGGGGCGTGGTGGACTTCTCTGCGCCGGGGGGCCAGGTAAAGCTGGGCTGCTTCTGCCCGTGCCCCGCGGCGAGCGGCTCGGAGCGCGTTCCGCCCTCGGCGCGGTGTCTCTGCGCGGGGCTGTGGCGGTGCCGCCGCAGTCTGGTCTCTCCACCTGCTGTTTCCTTTCGTGCCCGACGCCGAGTCCCTGGCGCCGCTTCGTCTCTGTCTAGAGGACGCCGCACTCGAACTCTGAGCCTCTTATGGGTCCCTGTGCTGGGTTAACAGTGAGAGCGTGACCCGAGCGGGGCAGCTGGGAAGGGCCCGGGCCCCTCTGCCCGCGGGCCCCAGAGCCGTGGGGAAATGCCCGAGGGCACAGGGTGCCTGCAGCCGCCCCTGGCCAGCGCCATGCCTAGTCACAGATTTGCTACTTTTGCTTATATTTACTTTCATAATACTTAATTAGCTCCCTACACTGCAGTGTAGGGGATCTTCAAAGCCTCTGCAGAGCCACGTGATACCTAAGCAGCAGAACGTATGGACACAGAAAACGCCGCGTTTCCCTCTCGGGACGGACACTGTTTCCTGGGCCTGCTAGCCCCTGTTTTAGCCCTGAAATACCTAGCTGAGCTGGAATCAGCTTCCCCTTCCTGCGCTGCCTTCCCCCCAGTCAAATTTCTTCTCCTTTCTCACGCCTGTATAATAAATGCTTGGCTTAGTCATCAGGATGATGTTACAGTGGGCTGGGGAATACAGGGTTATTTCAGCACAGCTGAAAGTAGTAGCCATCATAGTAGTTTACCATGTCTTCAGTGATGAAGAAATGATCCTTAAAACTTGTCTTCTGTTATGTCACCTCACAAAAGAATGACACAAATCTGCTGAAGTGTTGTTATCCAGGGATTTTCTACTTATGAGCTTATGTCAAAAAAAGGAGTGAGTAATATAGTTAAAATGAAACTTTGCCTAATTTTTAATGTTTCAATGCTTAGTTTTTTTCTTTTTAGCGTTCTATTAAGCTGTTTGTTTTTCTGTCTTTTTGGTCTATAATTTTGCTGTTGCTAATGAAACACAAAACCTGGCCCATATGAAATTGTAAAAGGCGTTAGAATTAACCAAGGAAGTTATTAACATCTCAGCCTTTCTTGAGCTTGCTATCTCAGCCTTTCTTGAGCTTGAGGGAGTCCTGTATATGGTAAAGGATTACAGCATTAGGGCTCTTCTGGGAAATTCAAAGTATTTAAAAACATCACAAGGATCTCTCTTCTCTTAATATGACTCTTTTTTGTGCCTGTTACCTTCTAAGATCAGGTGATAACTTACTAGTGAAAACATCTTTTATTCCTCTTTCCACCAGGTTAAAAACATCTGGCATTTCTCTTTCAAGACCTACAGGCCAGGCAGATTGGCCTAGATACTATTGCTTCTTTTTTCGCAGAAAACTGCTTCATGCAGTTGAGCTCTTCAGTGAATGTGGCATACCCCATCTCTCATGTTACCAGGCTTATTTAACTGATTCAGTACGTGTAATTCTTCAGCTCAGAAACACCTCCTGTTCTCCAGAAGCCCAGGCAATAGCTGGTGTGGAAGCACGTTGAGCAGGCAGTGAAGTGGCAAAGTTTTGGTGAGAGGATAAGACTTCCTGGGGACACTCTGTGGACAGGACTGTGAAGTAAGCTCAAAGGCTGGCACTCACAAAGCTGCTTGAAAAATTGGTAAAACTGACTATATTGCCAAAAGATGCTGTCCAGCAATACCTCAGAGTTTCTTAGAAATTCTATGTATGTAATTTAGTCCTGTTGCTCAGAAAATGTTAACCATAGCTCTCAACTGCAAATAGATTGATTTACACGTTCCTCTACAGAGGCTGTGTGCAAAGGCCGTATTTTGATATACATTTTAAGACTCTTGCAGTCTCTGCCTGTTTATTCCTACTGTGCCTGGCCATCTCTTTCCTTATATGAGCCTGTACTTTTCCACTGCTGCATGGAGGGCTGGACTGGGGAACTAAGCAGAACAAAACCAACTTGATTCTGTCTTGCCCTCCTCAAGACACTTCCCTGTCCTAAGGGAAGAAGGGAGTTGGATCACAGTAGAATGAGTTTGCTGCATTTTTTCCAGCAAATGTTAGCTTAAATACATGTGTTATTGTTACTTAAGGGAGTATGTCAAGGAAATACATCTTGCCAAGCCTTGAGCTGTTGATCCTGCTGTTTGGAACAGAATTGGCAGGATGGCATTCAGAATTGACAGAGTTTCTGTAGTCCTTCATATCCAACATCTTTGGTTGCTTCATTGCTATACTGCTTATCCTGCTGTAAATCAGAGATGAGAATAGTCATCTACCCTATGGGATCATGGGCAACCTGTATTTGGAATGTTGTTTGAAAATACAAAGTGTTATAAGTATATTGCTCTTTAATGGAGGTTGATAATTACCAGAATGTTTTATAATGATGAGGCTGTACTGTGGAAATGGACAAATAATAATGAATTTTTTCTCATTGGTATATATTGTTTGGGGTTTTTTATGAGTGGGGGACATCTCATCCCTAGATAAAACCTGTAAGTACCTTTTGAGTCTTATGTTCTATGTGTTCTGGCTCTGTTCAGCCTGTCCTGGTCACAGCTGTTTAGACAGTAGTTTTGTGGTACATTTGGCATTTTCACAAGAGTTACCTTCAAGCATTGCAGCACTCTTCCTTTTAGATGCTCTTTTTGGATGAGTTTTGTGTTTCTTACTCTTTTTTTAACCAGATCTATTTTATTTTTCCAGGTGTTCAGATCACAGCTCAGTATTTCTTCAGTCAGTGATCAAGATGCCTACAGAGCAGGATTACAGCCAGTTAGCCAGTGGAAAGCCTATGGCCTCAGTGGGTATCCAGGTAGGTAGCTCTGATTTCAAGAAAAGTTAAACACAACCTCATTACTTTGAATTCATGTAGTTTCAGTCTTTTTTTTTTCTTGTCCTGCCTGAAAAAGCTATTCTGTTTTGCCTAAGTGTAATTTAATGTTGTTGTAAGTGCAGGAGGACGAACAAATCAGCTAAAGGGTGGGTGGGATACAGCAATATTTATGAAGGTGAGAAGAGCCAGTTGTTTCACAGTGAGATCAGCCAGACCGTAGCTCATGAGTGGACTCCTGTTGCCTTTGGCAGAGACTTTATTTCTGTAGCATCTGTTTTTCCTCAATATACATCATGCTCATTGGGTACATGGCTGAAATTCAGTAGTTTCACAGTTGAAGTGTGGCATCTACTTGCCAATGTAGGACATGGACTACAGTAAGTGAATAAGAACCTTTTGGCCTACTCAATATGCAGAGTAATTTCATTAGGCAGGTTATTTCAGAAGTGGAAATGTGTTTTAGGTTTGCAGTTTACCTGGTATAGTCACAGAGAGGTATTAGGTTGGAAGGCACCTCCAGAGGTCTAGGCCAACACCCTGCTTAAAGCAAGATGAAATTGGAAGTTAGATCAGGATGCTGAGAGCTATGTATGGATAAATTCTGGAAATCTCCAAGGAGAGAGATTGCACACTCTCTCTGGGCACCTGTACCAATGTTTGGCCATGTTTTTTTCCTAAATCTCATATCTAATAAAAATTTGTCTTGCTGTTACTTGTGACTGTTGTCTCTCAATCTTGCTGTGCACATCTAAGAAGAATTGGGCTCCCCTCCTCTCTCATGCTGGTGGGTGGTGCTTACCAATACCAGGATGTGTCACTAGTCCTCACTGCTGCTCACAATTTGTCCTCAAGGCAGCCTGGCCTTGGTTTGGAGCTGCTCTTGACCCTTGGGTCATACTGTGGCATGGTGTTATTCTGCCCCAGATGCAGAATTACATCTGTTGAACTTCTGAGGGTCTCTTTAGCCCATTCTTCATTTGTCAAAGTCCTTTTCAAGGGCAGCACTAGCCTCCAGTAGATACACTGCTGCCCCAATTTAGTGTAAACTGTAAGTGAAATGAGGATGAACATCCCATCATCCACGTTGTTGATGTAGATGTAGTTATCTTTGCCCCAGGATCAAAGAATGTAGCTCATAACAGCTGCTGGTTAGACTTTGAATCATCAAATCACTATTCTTTAAACCTGGTGATCCATCCAACTTTTGCTTACCCTTTCAATTTGCCCAAAAAATGTATGGCTCCCAGTTTGGCTCCAATGGTGCTGTAAAAGGCCAAATGGAAAACTTTTCTTAAGCCAAGGTAAGCATAATTTCCTGTTTTCCCCTTGTCTGAACATCTCACTCTAGCGGGCAGTAAGGTTGGTTAGACAAAATTTGCCTACCATGCTCTCTGTTTCCAACCACCATGTTTCTAGAAGTTGCTGCCATGAAAGTTTGCTTTGTAATTTTATCAGGGGTTTTGATAAGGCAGATGAGTTTGTAGTTCCCCAGATCCTCCTTTTTTCAAGAATTTTTGTTTGATTAATTATGTTGTTTCTCATGTTTCTTTTCATTCATTGGGACCTCAGTTTCTCTGTGGGTTGCTTTGAAGCCAGCATACCACTTCTGAAACTGAAGCAGCCATGCTACCCATCTGACATGTTTAATACACAGGGAATTGAATAACTTCAGGAGAAAGGCTTCTGTCTCTTCTTGCCTCTATAAATGTTTTGTTCCACTTATCTGTCATATTATAGCTGCCCTCGCTTGGTCTACTTGTCATTTACTGTCTGTCTAAATGTCTTTCTTAGTAATTACATAGGGGGTGTGGGGAATCACAGGTGTTCCACTTAACTGCATTTCTCTTCTGCTTTGGCAAGGGAAACCTTTTCCTAAAATTAAATACAAATACATTG